AAGGAATACCACAGTGCAGATTTTTTATCAACTTCGGAGAATAAACTGATTTAATTTAGGTATTTCTAGCATGTGTGACTTATATGGTTGGAACGATATACAAGTTAAGCTTCTAACAAAAAAACGATGCACAATTTGAATTTTTCAACAAAGAGTTATGATCAAATTAGTAAAAGGTAGTCTGCTTGATTGATTGGTTCTGCTATAATTGTTCAATTTGAGTTTGAGTATCTTTTGTCACAAATCCTATCTCATACCTATCTCTAATATATATCATATCACTTGTATAAAGATCCATGTCTTGCATCATTTACTAACTAAAAGTCAAATTATCACCTGTTTTATAGAATAGTCCATAATGCCATGATATAGAACTAGCATATCCATCAAAATTTTCTTCAATTCTTCTAAGCTAGCTAATCCATGAATTCGAACGAATAATTAATCTATAACTTAAGTAAGCAATAAATCACACTTTATAAACATATAACTTCAAACAAATTCAAGCCTAGAGTTTTTTCACCCAAACCTAATACTCCAGTGATAGTCCACAACCTACAGCTCCCATGTAAGACCTAATTCCTAAGCTCTAATACCAAACCTGTAACGCCCCAAAATCCACATTGGAAGGCATTATTATCTAAAAATCATCCAATCATGAAAGCAGCTATAATAACCATTAAGTAATAAATCATTCATCTATCTGACAAATAATAAATATTAAAGCCAATAAAACAGTATAACTTCTTCAACTTATAATTTAAAACCAAATAGTATCTAGCAATGGAATAACTAAACTAACTAAAATATTGTTTCACAAAAATCTCTCTAAATTCAATAATCAAAACTACATCTTTAAGCCTGCACTTCAGAATCCTCATACTGACCCTCTCCATCCTCCAGATCAACCTGTTCATTCAATCCGAGTTCTTCGTATAAACCATAATCTAAAAAAGATGTAGTTTGTAAGGGGTGATGTCACACCCCAACTCCAAGGGCATGATCGGCTGTGAACCATAGATTCATAACCTATGGAACACGTAAGCCTAACAATAAACTAATAATATAGGAGTGAAAAACAACATTAACACTAAATTAATCTCATGTCAATATGTCAAAGTCAACATACCTAAATTTGATTGCCTCAATTATCTATACAAGTAAAGATGGTTATACGATATATGCTATGGAGGTCACAACACTATTAATCCCCAATTAATTCCCTGAATCCGCTATTGACACTCCAATCGTTAGTCTGGAAAAATATTATTTTAAAAACATGAGCTAAAAAATTCAGTGAATGAAAAGACATGCATATTCAAAGTAGCTGAAAAACATATTTGGATTCTATTAAGAAAAAATAACTTCATCAAGATAACCAATTTCTCAAGAATAATACAATTGGATTTCATTAAGAAATTATACCACAATAGTGAATCATATCATAATGGTGGAGACTATACGATATCCAATAATCGATGAGAACCAAATACCAAATATAAGAAAATACGTATGGTATACGATAGATAATCATAAACAAAATCAGTAAAAAAAAATGTTGTGACAATAACAAATTATATCATCATTTCATACTGGTAAGGACTTGTACGATATTTGGGAACCATACCAAATGTCAAAAGATCTCAAGGTTGGATCCAACATCGTGCTTAGGGTCACCACTGCCCCCCCGGGTCTGTTCCCTTAGACGATCTAGTGAAGGTCACCAGAACGCACCAAGCACTGTTCCTTCAACTAGGAACAACCTTTGAGCACTATGGTCACCTCAACCTCCCCCGGGTCTGTTCCTTAGTGGCCAGGGTCACCCGCACATAGAAGAATAATTTTCCTGGACTTTTAGTACCAAATGCCAGAATATATCTCAGGGTTAGATCCAACATCGTACTTTGGGTCACCACAGTCTCCCCCAGATCTGTTCCCTAAGACGATCCGGTGAAGGTCACCAGGATGCACCAGACACTGTTCTTTCAACAGTTGAGCACTAGGGTCACCTCAGCCTTCCTCGGGTTTGTTCCCTAGTGGCCAGAATTATCCGCACACAGAGGAATAATTTCTCTGGACTTTCAGTCATGGTCTCATTCACCATCGCTAAGTCTCACCATATAAACAAGTGATTGAGTCACAATACTTCACAAAAAAGTTCATCAAGTAATCAGAATTGTATGCTGCAAGTATTTAGACAATTAGTAAAGCATTATTATAAAGGTAGTAAAGAACAAGTATTATGTGTTATTTTTAAAATGTTTAGGGATACGGGAAAAATACGTAGCATATCAAACCACTCACCTAAGTCCAAATGATATGCTTTTTGAGTGTTACTTGTTACTCGAAGTAGAGTGAGATGTTATCCATGCCTTTCCTCTTTTTCTCACAATTTTCTTTTTCCTTTAATGTGGTGCTCTTCCTTCCTTCTTTTCTCTTTTACTCTCTATTCTTTCTTGAAAGTGGAAGACTACTTGTGCACTTGTATCTTAATCCAATCCCCAAATGCCCTATTTATAAGCATCCTAGGATTATTCTAGAGAATTTTGACATGTGACATTTTTAGGAGAGATTCCCTAGAATATTCTACCATCTCCCCTCTCCTAGATCCTTTTAGATTTCAAGCTTATTTTGCACATGGCAATTCCACAAGTTTCTAGATTCATCTATAATATTCTAAAGTCTTCTCCAACCTTCTAAGTCTTTCCAGAACATTCTAAATCCCTCTAAAATCTTCTAAAATATTCTATACTTCTCTAGATTGTTCTAAACTATTTTAGGTTATTCTTGAACTTTCTAATAACTTCTTCAACATTTTAGATTCTTCTTTAAAATTTTTCTTATTTCTTTCAAGATAATATTCCCTAACTAGTTCCTTACCAAAATGGAATGGGGTATTATAGGTGAGCACTAAGCTCTATAGGAAAATCCTCCCAAGTTTGAACAAGGTTTTAAAAACATATAAACACGAGTCGGTCTCATTTTACAAAATATCATACATATAACTTTTGAAATAAAACAGTGATAGTTTATCAAATCTCAAGTTTATGTAGTAACAATAAATTAAATGAAGTAAAACCAACATTACCACGTTTTCATTCATCTAAGCTTCTTATTACCAACATTGTATCTCAGGTATGTAGTAATACTGAGCATGAATACACACATTGAGAATATCCTGGCCCACACACACATCAAATCCTTACAAGGATGCACAACTTTAGGGAGGGCGTATACCGATGCATCGGCAGTGACGAATCCAACCTAGGAATAGTATACTAGCTCTCAGCCTCGATACCCGTGAACGAATAGTGGTTTGATCCTTGTAAGACACCAATCCCACTACGAGTGATAGATAACCTTCAAACCCACTCAGAGTAAGAAACTCATCTACCCACTCTATGATATTTGGTTAACAGTCACCCATATTCATCAAAACATCCACACAAAATATACAATACTAAACCAATTCACCAAATCACAGGTAAACCAAGAACAATAATTCCACAGGTAAACCAAGAACCATAATTTCAAAGGTATTTTTCCAACAGAACAACTCAAGAAAATATGCAAAAGATCATCGAGAAATATAATTTTATTGTTCAAAAAAAACACTAGAGTTTTTAAATCAAGAACATTGGAATATCAAGGGTAAAAACTATGTTTCTTGAAACTAGGGTTCTGATATTAAGAACGATAGTTTTTATGACTATCAAACGATAACCTCATTCAAGACATAATACGATTTGCAAGAAAACCAATAAATAATGATTTCATAATATATACATACGTTATATAATCAAAACATACATATATATTAATCCTACCCTCAATGAACAAGTTTAGAAAGAAACCCCTACCTTGATTCTTGAGATCTTGATCGTAACGTGTTTCGTTGCGATTACCCCGTGTTAATCCTTCAAGATTTAACCCGTTCTTTCTCTTTTTTTTCTCCTCAACTTTCCTAGGGTTCTTGGGATTGAAAATTAGGTAAAGATTCTTTATTTCACGGCCCTAGAGTATTTATAGGCTGAAAAATAGAGAATTCCCGAGTGGGCGCGAGTAGCAGTCTGCGCCTGACTTGTAACTCGATTTTGACCTAGTTAGAGGCCGTTTCATGAAATTGTCATGAAATATACTTTTGTAGCCCTTGAAGTCTAATTTCTACTGTAAAAATTTTAGGTTAATCTGACATTAAGGTAAATAGTTATAGCCAAAATACGAAGGTTATGTCAAATTCATTTTCACCCTAATTCTATTCAAAATAGGTTTTAACTCTAGAATACTTCTAAATTTCTAATACAAACTCATATAACTTCTTTCATTATTTTTTCGACATTCCGGATTCAATGAAAATCTTATTTTGATCTAAAAATATTTATAAAATTACTTAGTCACCCTTCTTAAACTTAAACATCTCTAAAACTCAATTTATTCTGAAAGTCAAATACGCTTGAAATTTAAATTTCATAATCAATATTTTAATAATTATTCTAAGTTTCTATCATTATTTTATTCGTCTTAGGAGAATTCTTAAGGTAATATTATATTTATTTAATTTTAATACGGGATTTTACATTTTCTCTATTTAGAATTTAGGGATCTAACCGAAATATGGAAGATGATTAAGTGGATTAAGGCAAGGATCAAAATTTCATTTTAGTATATAGTTTTGGTCTGCCTGGACACAAACTTTTTAGAAATATTTCAAAATAGTGTCGAACCAGAAAAAGCTTTTTGAAAATTTGTTTCTAAAATAGTTCGAAACATTGGTCGAAGGATTACCAAAATATGCTGAAAACCTCAAAAAAATGGAATTTCGACATTCAATCACTATCTCGATTCGGTTTTCTTGGAAGTGGAAACGATTTGGTCTTTTGGTGGAAGAGGAATGATATTTTGTTCATTGGATTAAGGTACACAAGAACTTTTTTTGAAGGGGTTAGATTTAAAAATCTCTTCAAATATGCATAAGATTTGTTTTTCCAAAAAGAAGTTATATGGTGGCAGAGTCCCTCACTATGCACCCTGTGGCTTCACCACTGGTCACGCTGAAATTATATAAAAAAACAAGTAAGGAAACTTGGTTCCTTGCCGTGTGTGCGAAACCTCCTACCTAGTGATGTTTTTGCACCAAACTGTGCTATATATGTTCATATTGTGTACGATCTCGGGTGATGGTTTGTTGTTGAAAGATTGTTCCATTAACCTGGGGAATTTGCGGGAAACCTAACCTTTTTTTGGTAAAGATATCCTCTATCTTCTCCATCGAAACAGCTGATGGTCTGCAATCTTGCATCTTTACTGATAACAACATAATTTGTTTTACCCCTCCCCTCTGAATCTTGTTGGACCAGAATGTTAACCTCCCAGTATAAGGAGTGAAAAAGTTCTTAAGCAACCCCATGGTAAAAGTATAATTGTCTTAGGAAGGCGTCAAAATTTCCATGGCCTTGTCATAATACGCTGGAGTGCTTGTACTGTGTGTTTATCCTCAGATTGTTGGAGACTTGGTGAAGATGGTAATATAAAATAGGACATAAAAGATGAAACAAGTTCAATTTTCCTCGGTGGCAAGATTTTCAATGACAAAACAAGAATATTACAAAATAACAAGCAAAACAGGAAATAAACTGTGAATTTGTGTGCTTCACTTTTCCTTAACTCCTTTGCATCAAGTCATTTTAGTTCAGAAGGCAATCAACTATGGGAGATCAATACATCAAAAACACGTCAAAACCACATTAATCAAGCTAAATGATTTGCTTACCACAATAACCTAAATTCCTGTAAGACCAATCCCATTGAAGCATTACTAGCAGTATGACATTGAAGTTGGGGGGATATGTTTCATGCATTTAGTTTGAGGAGACCTAGTACTGCCAGCAAATCCCCACTTGTTTGATTAAGAAAATGCTTTTGAAGTTTTCACCTGGGGAGCATGAGCTCGTTCATACATCTGGTTGCCTTCCATTGAAACACAGCGCTGGATTAGAGGAACTTCTTCATACGCAGTTGAGAGCCGAGCCTTAATAAAAAAACAAGTAGGTCGCACTCCAAAAAAAAATGAGGATTACCTGAGGGGTTGTTTGGACCTGCCTGAGGATCTGACTACTCTAATTCACATGAACACCTGTTGTCTGTGCACTTGATGGTATTCCGATAATTGAGATGGTTGACAATGTGGGTGATTTGAAGAAGTGGTGATTATGATACAGTCAGTGGTTTACTTTTAGAATATATTGATACTCAATATGGGATGCAGGGACATAAAAATTAGTGTATTCCAGATAAGTTGATATTGGCGCCTTTTCCTTGAGAATTGTCTAGCTTATCAAATATCAAATACTGCAGTGGGTGTCAAATTGACTAGCGAATCAGAGTTTTCTGGAAACTCTGCACGGACTCCCTCCATTCCTCTCTTGAAATATTTGGCAATCTTCATATTTGTGATGCCTTTTATCAGGGTAAACAATAGGATGTTATGCAATTGTTTCCCAGTTTGATGATTGCTAATTGTTTTGTTTCTTTCCTTTTTCTTTGTTCAACTCTCGTTTAATTGTTTTGGGACAGCATGTTGAAGATCACCACTTGTACTCGTTGAATTACATGCACTGGGGTTCTCCGAAGATTTGGTATGGTGTCCCAGCAGCAGATGCCCTTAAATTGGAAGCAGCTATGAGAAAGCATTTGGCTGAACTTTTTGAAGAACAGCCTGACTTGCTTCATAAGCTGGTGAGCAATTCCTCATTCCATTTGCAACTGTATTACTTGATGATCTGGGATTGTTTTTATATATTCGTTATTTCAGCTGTTGTCTCTACATGTCAAAATGTGCCACCGGCGAAAATACTAACAAAATTCACTCAGTTCTTAGCTACAGTCAGAGCATGATATGCTCGTTTTACTCCTTATGAACACGTGTAAACTGGATCTTGAGCATTGACTCATTCGATAACGTGTTAAGTTTTTAACCTCCCCAAGAGTGAAATGTTATGAATACTACATTACTTTTTGTGGTCAAAATCTAAAATTTGTGCTTTTCTGTTACTATGTTTTATCTTCCCCCTGTTTCCCACTTCAAAATGCCTTTTTTTTTTGTTTCATTTTTGCTTTCAAATTAAAATTTATTGAATTTTTCATATTGTAGCAGATGTATATCTTTTATTAGAAACATGGTAACTACTTTAGAATATATGATGTCTTCGAAGGTCAGACTTCTGAACAAAAGCATGGGGACAAGTTGAACTTCCATCTTCCACCATCTCTAATACGGCTTTTTGGTTCACTAACTTAGAATTAATTCAAAAACTATAAAACCTTTCTTCTTTTTTTCTGCTTCTTTGTAATCCCCAAAAAAATACACTTTAAGAGCCTCATTACAGTTCATGTTGCTGAATTATTCTTTATTCTTTTGTCACAAGATTGATTATTGTTTTGACGATTGTTGTTTTGTTTTAGTGGAATTACGTTCTCATTCGCTTTCAATGTTAGATCTGTTATGTTTGCTTCTCAAACTTGGAATGCCAACGCACGTCAACATGATCCAAAGAAAACTGACCCATAAACAGGTCTAACAATATGACCATGCTTCTATCTATGTTGCACAACCACATTGTTAACTGATGGAACTTAGAAAAGCTATAAACAGCAAAATTGATAGATATTTTAATTGATTTGTCTGGTTAGTGGTCTTGGTCACAATTGCTTAGCTTTAATGGCATTTAACTCAACACTACATAATTTGAAGGATTGGGGTTTTGATTGCTTAGAATTAATGAAGTTGACTATTTTTTTCCTAAAAACTCTACTTTTATCTTCTTTTGAGTCAATTTTCATGTTCTTAATTAGTCCTGAATGTGATGATCTGGCTATAAGGACTTCGTAATTTAAATAAAAATTACTATTTTGAACAGCTTCGCATTAATAATGTTGCTACACTTACCCAAGAAATCTAGTGTTATCTCCTTTTGAGTTGATTTACGTGAAGTTGATTACTCTAAAGCCATGATTTGGCATTTCCGGTTGTGACAAATACTGCATTTTAGTTGTTCATATTTAATAGAATAAATACATGGTGATGATTCTTTCTTATTTACGCAACACCTTTGTGTTTTGGGATTTCTACTGTCATTTGTGATAAGAGGTCGAAGGTATGATTTCCCTTTGTTTCCTGTATAAATTTCTTGTAATGCTAGGTTGGATCTTTTTAATGTGTAACCTATGCAAGTATGTATGATTAACCAGGACTTATTTATAACTCTGACAATTTCTTTAATGTCAGAACTTACTCTTGTCAACGAAAGAAAAAGATGGCCTACCTTCACCTTGATAGGTGAATAAAGGAAGTAATCTGTCAGTTTCTATGACGTCAATTTGGAAATTAGAAGTCTGCCAATTCAGATTAGGCAATGTATTTGCTTCCCCTCGATTTGTTTTCCTTTGTCATTTAGTAAATTTGCCTCTGGACTTTTTCCCCCTGCAGGTCACGCAACTTTCCCCCTCCATACTAAAATCTGATGGAGTACCTGTTTATCGATGTGTTCAGAATCCTGGAGAGTTTGTTCTGACCTTTCCTCGAGCATATCATTCAGGATTCAATTGTGGCTTCAATTGTGCAGAGGCAGTAAATGTAGCTCCTGTTGACTGGTTGCCCCATGGGCAGAATGCTATTGAGCTCTATCGTGAGCAGGGCCGGAAGACGTCTATCTCCCATGATAAACTGTTACTTGGGGCAGCCAGAGAAGCTGTAAAAGCACAGTGGGAACTCAATTTATTGAGAAAGAATACTTCTGATAACTTAAGATGGAAGTATGTCTGCGGAAAGGACGGGATCTTATCTAAAGCACTCAAGGTAAAGATTTGTGTCTTGCATTGCACATACTTGGTGTTATGTTGGAGTTCATATGTATATGTAATATGAAAAACTATATTGCAGTGGTTATTTAGTATTTGGATTTGTTTGGTAGAAACTTTGTGGCAGTGACACAATATAGCATGTTTGTTGGTTCGAACCAAGGATCAAAATTTTGTTTCGATGTATTGTTTAAGTCACCTAAAAAACGGAAACGTTTTGAAAATGTTTTAGAAATAGGATGGAAACGGATAAAAAATTTGGGAATTTATTTCCAAAATATTCTGAAACATTGATTGAAATATATCGAACCATCTTGAAACATTTTGAAACGTTGGTGGAACATGCCAAAAGATATCAAAATATTCTGAATCACCTTGAAGCATTTGAATTTTGATTCAATCAATGATTCGTTTTGGTCTTGTTGGAATGGAAACGTTTCGGCCGATTTGAAACGAAACTTTGATCCCAGGTTGGAACAATATCAATAAAACACAATAGAGAAAAAGAGGGGTGGAGTGGTGTCTTGAATTATTATTCAGAATAATTCATAACTTGTAGTGTCTCCAAATAACTTGCTGAGTTTTCAGTAGGTTACATTTGTTTCTTATAAGACAAAAGAAATCCACTTATTGAGAGATGTAAGATTAGGTCAATAGTTAAGGGAAGGAGTGAATATATTTCAATTGCTAAGAATTTTGAAATTTTTTTTGGTGATGGAATTTTTTATTTTTTGAATATGATATCATGCTGCTGGCAGCAGCATAATAAAATATGCAACAAGTTATGGAATTTAACATTGGATAGGCATTTTTCATATATATCTGGTGCCATTGATGCCAAGCTCACTTTTTTTTCCTGTATTATCTTTTGCATAGGCACGCGTTGAGATGGAGCGGGTGAGGAGGGAATTTCTTTGCAATTCTTCACAGGCATTGAAAATGGAGAGCAGTTTTGATGCCACCAATGAGAGGGAATGCAGTGTATGCCTTTTTGATCTGCACCTGTCCGCCGTTGGTTGTCACTACTGTTCACCAGACAAATATGCTTGCTTGAATCATGCAAAGCAACTGTGTTCATGCTCTTGGGGTGCCAAATTTTTCCTGTTTCGTTACGACATCAATGAATTGACTATTCTGGTTGAAGCTTTGGAAGGTAAACTGAGTGCAGTATACCGATGGGCAAGACTAGATCTCGGACTGGCCCTGAGTTCATATGTATCTAAAGAGAATATGCAAGTCCCTGGTATCATCAATAAGTTTTCTTATCCCCCAGAAAGAACAGCAGTAAAAGAGACGAGTTTGCTGTCACCCATGGCTTTCTTAAAAGAGCAGAAAGTGAAAGAAAATATTAGTGAAATCCCACATTCAACTGGTTTCAATGGTAGAACAAGTTCACCGCAGAAAGCGAAACCATCTGGTGAGTTACCAGCTTTGAAAAATACAAAGGCATTTTCTGCAGCGCATAAGTCTTCCCTTGAGGTTGAAGAGGCAAAATATAGTTCTCAGTGCAAGGAAGAGGGATCCATACATCTGGCCCCCAATCATAGGATTCCAGTTTGTGAATCTTCCCATGTTGACAACTTGCCTGCAGAGAAACCTGAAATAAAGAAACCTTTGTTTTCAGGGGGCAGTGATGTTATACTCCTTAGTGATGATGAGGGAGAGGAACCCTTACCAATTTCCAAAAGTGCAAAGGACACCTCCACAAAGCATATAGGACCTTCTTATAGAATGGCATGTCCAAATGATATTGTGAGTACGGGTAATAGTACTAAAGACCCAGTCTTGACAACCACCCCTATCGCTAATATGGCTGTAATGGGTGAAGCGGATCCTAGTTTGTTTATTGATGGGGAGAGAATTAACTCTTCATCTAGTTCAGAGTGTCTAAAAGAAACAGATCTTGATAAAACAAAAACAAATGTTGGATCCAGTCCACAAGACCTATCTGCAAATGCTGAAGACTTTTCAAGTAGAATTGAGACTGGTGATTGTAATGTGGAAAATGTGGGTAGTGACTTTCTGTTTCCACAGTCAGGTGGCAGCCGAAAACCTGATAATGAGGATAGAGATAAAAAGATAGGATCAGATGCCCCCTCAAGGTTAACAGACAATGTACAAAATGAACAATTTATCCCATCTTGTACTCAAAATAATCTGGACAGGTACTTTCGCCAAAAGGGACCTCGCATAGCGAAGGTAGTGCGAAGAATCAACTGCAATGTTGAACCTCTGGAATCTGGAGTTGTGAATTCTGGAAAGTTGTGGTGTGATGCTCGGGCCATTTACCCCAAAGGTATGGTGCATGTAAATTTTCCACATAGCTTGTGTTCCCTTGGGCAGACTTTTTGAAGCAGACAGAACGTAAGCTTGTTTATTGTTTTGCAGGATTCAGGAGTCGCGTTAGGTACATAAGCATTATAGATCCAACAAGTATGTGCTATTATGTTTCAGAAATTCTGGATGCTGGACGGGATGGACCTTTATTTTTGGTAATTTAATTATTTATATTGGTCTGGAGTCAACGTTTCTTATGGTTTGTACATTCTATCTGATCTTGTTAAATATTGTTTTCCTGTCACCTTTTAAGATTGGCAATTGGCAATCACAGATTACTTGTTTGTTATTTGTGCTTCATTTTGAACTCAATGCAAATGGGCTGATTTATAGAGGAGTTTATAAATTTTTTGTAAATTTTCCTTGAAAAATGTTTCCTCATGTTCTTGACTTGCTGTCCTATGATTAGTGTATCATCAGCTTTCATCTTCTTTCCTACAAGCTTTCATTAAGCCTTTATGTGGTCAAACTTTTAACAGCCACGTGGAAATGAAAATACATGAATTTTAGGGTATATCTCTAGGATTAGTGTTTTCTATAAACAGTGGATACATGTTGTAGAAGGTACAATTTTGTGAATGAGGCCCCATATAACTAGGATATCTGTGCGGACCAGTTGCACAGTTTCGATGGCAGCATCTCTCATTTGCCTGGAATCTTGTAATATATGATCTCCTAAATTTTATGAGCCTAAGATCCCATTTCCTAGTCTCGTTGAAACCTTCATACTTATGTTTATGACCTATAGAATAGGACTCACTGATAGATATCAATGCAAATATGTCTCGGATATGGCCGGATTGAAACCTTCGTACTTATGTTTATGACGTATGGAATAGGACTCAATGATAGATATCAATGCAAATATGTCTCGGATATGGCCGGATACATAGCATATAACCGGATACAATTGGGATGTAAAATATTTTTAATTTTGGATAGGTTTGGGATATGCCAAAGGTGTGTGACATATATGCTTAGGATATGCGGGATACACGACAGATATGTTTAGGATACACCAGAACTAAAGATATATTATTTTTATAATGGTCCATGAAGTAAATAATTGAAACAAATGAAATAAATATTTTAAACAAAATATGGGAGTTCTTTTGCAAGCAAATATGATTTTGGCCTCAAAATGACTTATCTATTTGATTTGTCACTTATCGAACAAAGCCCTCTTATAATATGTCCCTACTTTATTTTTTTGATCAGATGTCCCTACTTATTTGACCCAGCTAGTATTTGGTCAATTAGATAATTCATCTTATACTATGTATTGCAATATAAAATATAATTGCATGAATATTAATTTTTTAACCATATATTTTGTAAATATTAAATTTCGTACAATATATAGATTACATAAAAAAGCACATATTTATTGACGTATCCTCCCGTATTGGTGACCTATATATTTAGATTTTTCCGAATCGTTATATCCATATCATGTTGTACCTATATACTGTGCTTCCTAGAGCATATTAGTGAGAAATGAAGTAAGCATGGTACGTATTACATTAACTTATGGACAAAACATATATCTGATAGACGATATGAAGTTCCATTATGGCTGTGTACAGATATTTTGTTATTTATCCATTTGATCTTTCTCTGGGTAAGACAGTCGGTAGATGTTAATACAACTTAAGGTGGTGGCTTCATGGGCATATCGGCCTGATAATTACTTACCCTAGAAAGAACAAGGAAAAAACACAATGTACATGACTGATGTATAATTTGCTATGCCTTTATTGTGAATTTACAAAACCACTGTCTCCGAACCTTGTGATAAAGATTGGCTCACTTGGAATGAATGAATGGGGACAGTTACAACCAATGGCAGATGCAAGAAAAGAAACATTCAACAGTATGACTTGTAACAATTTTTTTTGTTCTTTTCACCAGGTGCCCAAGAAAGCTAATAAAATGGCATTTTTCAGGTTTCCCTGGAGAATTGTCCTAGTGAAGTATTTGTTCATGTTTCGGCTGCCAGATGCTGGGAAATGGTTAGGGAGAGAGTGAATCAAGAGATCACAAAGCAACACAAGTTGGGAAGAATGAAGCTTCCTCCTTTGCAACCTCCTGGGAGTCTTGATGGCATGGAAATGTTTGGTTTTTCTTCACCGGCAATTGTGCAGGTAAACCTACAATTTAAACTGATCTCATGATTATCAGCTTGATGTGAATGGGCTTTTGGATTTTTATATTGAGCGCTTGTAATCTTTGTGTGAGTGCCTTAAATGCTTGCTATTTTCTAGTTTTGGGTGTTTTAGGGTGTTGCAGGAATGTGTTACTTTGATGGCTAACTATAAAATTCACAATATTGAGACTCGTGATTTGATTTTTTCTTTTGATAATCAGAACCTTTTAGAATGTTTAGGAATGAATCACATTCTTTTCTTAGGATATGCACCTTCTGCAGAAGTAGTTGGCCCACATTATTTTTAAATTTGATTCAGGATTTATATGCTAACATTTGAAATTTGATATGACACCCTTTATGACGTTTATTGAAGCATTTACATGAATCCCTCTATTTAGGATATTTTGCAATTGTTTCTGGTTTCTTTGAGAACATAAAACCACTGTTGTGGTTTGAAAGGATTATTGACACCCTCAGGATACGAGACCTGACATAAGGATAGAGACCTTCTTAATGGAAATGTAATGTTGCAGCAGAAAACACAAGCAAGGTTGGAGGTGGATAGATTGACCACCTCAACTAAAAAGGAGGCCTTCCACCATTTGCGCAGAGATATTTTTTTTGTTCCAAAACAGGATTTTGTTTTCTCCTTGTGTGTTTCTCTCTATTTTTAAATTTGTGAATAGCGAAATAGGTGAAAGTTCGCTTACACGTGACATAATTTTCAAACTTTTAAGTCTTTCTATTCTGATCACTAGCCATTTTATCAGTTACATAGCAACCTCTCTTTCCTCTGTCAGAAGTGTTTTAACTTATTTCTTTTGAATTTGCAATAGGCTATTCAAGCAATAGACCAAAATCGAGTCTGTACAGAGTACTGGAAGTCCCGGCCCCTGATGCATATTCCCCATCATTCTCAATCTGAAGACACCAGCAGGAACCTCTTGCTGAAGTCTGAGATTCCAACTGATGAGGAGTCTGGCAAGAGTGACACATTGCTTGCCGGAGTTGATACAATAATCAATGGCCTATTCAAAAAGGCCAATCCGGAAGAACTAAATGCACTGTACAGCATCTTGAGTAAGAATAATTCAACAGCTGATCAATGCCTGGTGACTCAGCTTCTTAATGAAGAGATTCACAAGCGTCCAAGATGATTCATTTTCCAGTCTCATGATTGAGGTCTGGACTTTGCCATAACAATGTAAATGCCGAGTCTTATTTTCAGGTCACAAATTACGTCCTAACCTCGTTCCTTTTCTCAAAACCTCGTTCTGGCTCGTGGTGGAGAAGCTAAACATTCATCAGGTGGATGCTCACTTCTCCAGAATCATGCTATCCACATTCATTTAACAAATGCAACTGATTTTTGATGTTTCTGCCCCTTCTGCTTGAGCTTTAGTGTTCTGGGTTTTATATTCAGTGCAAGTAGTCTGAGAAGGAGCTCAAAATATTGATAGGAATTAACAGAAACAATAATCCATTTTTTATGGGAACTAGAAACAAGAATTATTTGCAGATGTGCAGGTTGGAACAGTGTAAATGCAAACAAAAATTTCTTTAAAATGTTGTTCACATTCCCATTTGTCTCTGTATAAAATGCCTTTCTGATTTGAGTGCTAGAGGAACATTTCATAGGTTGACTCACTAAGCATTATCCAGTCAGTTTGATCTCTCTTGAGATTATTCACTTGATGGGGAAATACTGCAAGTGTTCTAATAGGTAGCAGCTAATGAATGCAGCATGTAATAAATTGGTCAATTTTCAGAGATGAATGATTTGCTTGAAGGATGACCTATCTGATAAACTTGAGAAAGCTCAAGAGGGCATGCTCTATTAGAACATCTGAGAACTTAATACCGAGGAGTGATAAAGAAATCCATAGGTTCACCCCAGGGGCAGCCCAACATAAATAGGGGTTCTATGAGAAAATTTTATACAGGGTCATACTAATATTGTGTATATATATATATATATTATTTTAATGATCATAATTTAATTATTTATTATTTATTTAACTAATTGGACTTCTTTCTACTAACAAATTCCATAATTTTGTATCAATATTCTTTCAATTCCTCAGATCATATATATTTGTAGGAACAAAAGGGAACTTTTTATTGATACATTTACATTCTTTTGAATCTCTTTTATGTTCTTATATTTTTATTGCATGATGTTGTTGTTCACTAATTAAGGTTGTGTTTGGCGTAATTTCTCAAAATAGAGTCCATTTTAAAAATACACTTTACAAGATGAACTTTTAAACAAAGTCGATTGTTTGGTGAATATGTCTTGAAAGTACTTTTAACTTAAGAAATGAACTAAAGTATGAACGTGTGTTTGAAGGCAACATCTTGGATGTTCAAAATATACATTGTTAATCATATTACACATACGTTTGATTTTAAAGCTAAACTCATATTATATTTCGATGAATAAATTGCCATCAAATAAACAAAAAATTGCAAATGCAAAACCTTAAAACTGTAGACAATTGAGACATGTCTATAATCAAATTTTTTGGGTCGATATATTTCAA